TTTATACTAAATATATATAAACTTAAAGTGTTTTAATACTTAAAAATTATTTTCTAATAAGTACTAGTTTTAGTATAGTTTAATAATCTAAATACTTAAATAAAAGTAAAAATAAATATATTTAATTTTATAATTAGTATAATACTATTATAGTTATAAAAAGGTTAATAGTATCCTATAGTATTTTTATTATAAAAGCTTTAGAGTATAAAATTAAAATATTAGATACTAAATATAAAAATACTTATAATACTAATAGTATTCTACTAGTAAAAGTATTATTTAATATACTTAGTAAAGACTATTAAAGTTCTTACTAACTACTTAAATTATAGTTATTTTATAATAAAGAAGACACTCTTACTTAAATAAGCTATAGTATTAAATAAGTTATTATTATATAACTTCTAAATTATATTTAAAGTAAGTAAATTAAACCTAACTAATATACTCTTATAATAAATAGACTATAAGCTTAATATAAAAGAGTAATATATATAATAATTACTCTTTTAATTCTTAAACTAATTTAAAAAGAAAGTTAAAGTAAGAATTTACTATACTAGAGCTAGTAGAAAGCCTACTTAAGTAATAGAATAGAATAAACTAAAAGAGAATATATATTAAACTTATAAGTAAAACCTAATAAAGTATATAAATAAAGTAAGATCTTACTATACTTAGGAGAGCTAAGAAGGCACTTAAGTAGTTAAATATAATAAACTAGAATTAAGTATAGTATAACTTTATATAATTTATATAATAATACTATTAGAAAAGAGAATACTTTAAAAGTAGTTATTAGTAGTTTAATAAAAAGATATTTTTATAGACTTAACTAAGAAAGTAGTATATAAAAGTAATAAAAAAGAAGTAAAACTATATAGAATCTTATAAGTAATTAATTTATAAAGACTACTAGTAAATAAAAAAAGGATCTTTATATTAATTAGTATAAGATTAAAGATTTTATAATTATACTATAATAACTTTATAGTAGGGTACTAAGGAGTTTATAGGACTTTTTATAGGATTATATAGACATTCTTCTAGTAGAGAATAAAAAAGGATATAAAAATATATATTAAGTACTACTATATATACTAGATAATAAAGACTAGGATATATTAACCTTATAGTTTACTTATACTACTACTAATGCCTTTATATTTATTTAAAGAAATATTAATAGACTTAATTACTAGTTTACTTAAATAATAAAGAAGATATAAGTAATATAATACTATCTTAATAATAGTAGATTAGACTATATAATATAATATTTATATTACTATAAATAAGAACCTAATAAATAGTAACCTTATAGAAATATTCCTATATAAAGTAGTAACTCTTTATAGAGTACTAAAAGGCATTATATTTAACTAAAGAATAATCTTTATATTAGGATTCTAATAGAGTTTCTACTACTTTATAGTAATAAAGTAGTAACTTAGTATTATATTCTACTTATAAATAAATAGTCTAATAGAATAAATGAATTAGACTCTAGAATACTATTTAAAGGCTTTTTATAATATAGAATAGACTAACTAGGTTAAAAAGCTAATAATAGTATAGTTTATATATAATATAAGTTAGTAAGTATTAGTTAATAATATTCTTATAAGATTACTATTAGGTTATATACTAATATACTCTACTATTATTACTATATAGATAATAAATATCTAAGTATAAGAATATATATAAGAGTTAAAAGATATATATAAGAATATAGTAAGACACTTATAAAAGACTAATAAAAGATATATAAAATTTTATAACTTAAAATAATAAAAAAAGCACTTTAGTATAAAAGACTAAGTACTCTTATTAATAAAGAACCTAAAGTTAATATAATCTAATTATAAACTTATAGAAAAGTATATAGGACCTTTCTAAATAATCTTACTAATAAGGATAATAAAATAAGTATATAAGCTAAATCTACTATAGTACTTAAGAATCTATAATATATTTAATATCTTTAGCTTTAAACTATATTACTAATATAAAAGTACTATAATAGAAGTATAAACTTCTATTAAAAGTAAAGATAAGTATATTATTAAAGAAATTATTAATTATAAGTATAATAATAAGTATAGACTATTTAAAGTAAAATAAATAGAATATAAAAAAGTAAAAAACTTATAAGTAAAGTATAGTAACTTTATAGATTTAGTACTACTTAAAGAATATAAGTTATATATATAAATATAAAAAGTATAAAGATATAATAAGAATATTATAAAGATAATATAAAGGTATTATAAAGAAACTAAGAATTCTTATTTAGTAATCTTAGAGTCGCTACTGCCGCCTCCGGAATGGTGGCATCCCTAAATAGGCAACGCGCGCCACGCCGCTTAGTCCGCCCACCCCTGCCCGCGGCCCGTACCCCACTGCGTCATGCCCGCCAAAGTATAAAGACCACGGCCTCCCCCGTCCGCTGTATTAAGTACACTAGACTTCTTCTCTCCTTAACCCGCCGCCGCAATGAACTTCCTCTCGGCGCCTGAGCCCCTTACGATGCTGCCCCTTTTCCTTTCCACCCGCCGCCCCTAGAGCCTTACTTCGCTCGAGCGATCCTACACCGACCGTCCCTATCAGATAAGCATAGGCGAGCTGTTCTTGTTGTGCTTTATCCTTGGTTAGTGCTAGCGGCTGTGCTACAGCTTCTTACCTATTCATAGGGTCGAGTTTGCCCTACTCTCTAAAGCAGAGACTGCCTAGTCTGTATGTCTACTCTACCCCTAAAAACTTAATTCTATCCCGTGCTTATCGCTTACCTCTTCTCACTTACTCGTAGGCACCCCCCGATCCCTTACTACACTAAGCTGTGTGTAATAAACCACAATATTTCCTTAGCTAATTATAAAAATGCCTTATAATGTATAACAGTAAGCCTGGTTTGCTAAAATTACACTAGCTGTCACGGCTCTGTGGGCTGACTTCGTAGACTACGAGACTAAAACGATTAGCCTTAACACGTCACGGGAGTGGGCATAAGGAAGGTCTTAAACGCTTAATGTTTCGGATAGACTCCCTAAAGAGGGCATATGTGCGTTGTGGCTTTCCTACTAGTCGGAAAATGGTAGCATCGTTGAGTTTAGCGCCCTACTTTCGGTCATTCTGTGGAGCAGCTAATCACAGTCGCGGCTTTAAGAATCCGTCCAATAGCTATGTCTAGCACTCTCAGCTACCCTACACAATCAGACGGGCCGACTCACTAGCACCAAAAGGTGACGTGTCACCGACATTTTAAGCCATAACCTATAGCATATGGATAGGTCATACAGATACGAAAGCACAAAGCACACGTCGTCTCACTTAGCAATTATATGATTAGTGCAGAGCTAGACCTACGACTAGGCTATACTAGGCTTACTGCGTTCATTCTACTGTAAGGAGGTCACCGCTGTTGCCTTAGTATAAGAGGCATTCTTACGAACTTTAGAGCTATTAGCGCTAGGACGGCTAGTAAGGTCCGAACAAATAACTTAGACATTTATCTACTTAAAGGGCGCGTAAGCCTAATAGGTTTAGCATACATTAAAGCCAAAGTCAGCCTTTCCTAGTAAGTTTAGATTTTTTCCTTTAGAGGTAAGCATTATAGCAGTAGAATAACAATCATTTCTACCCACGACTAGCACACCTCTTTAACTGGCACAGTAGTAGGCCGAGAATGCGACATTACGCCTACGACATACTTAGCAGTTATTAAGCATAAAGGCAGACTATCTACACTGATTTTAACGTCTCTATACCTGTCCTAAGCTCCTTTATATTAAGCGGCAAGCGGGAGTTAATATAAGGTAATACTCATTTTAACTGATTCGGAGTTAGAGTCTATATTAGAGTCAGAGTCCATATTAGAGTCAGAGTCCATATTAGAGTCGGACGGTGAAATAGACGACAACATTCCATCTCCTAAGAAAACCGAATATATTGGCTAGAAGACTATAATAAGGCCAAACGGTACCTCACTAAGTGAGTTAGTCTCTAAGTCCTAATAAACCGTTAAGCAAAGCTAGCGAAACGGATGTTAAGACTAACTATCGTAGTAGTATTAACGATAACAACTGTGCCTAATACACTATAGGATGTTTCATTAGGACCTATAGTGAATAACGACTTAGATGGGGCCGTATAATGCTCACCTTCTACGTCCCTCACCCCCTCGGACCCCCTAAGGCAGGCGTCCAGGGTTAGGGTAGACTCGAGTTAGCGCTTAGTAAGTATACCTACTGAGGTGGCTATGCAAGGCCATAAGCAGGCAGAGGACACAGACGAGTCACTCTTAAGTCATTATAATAATCGTGAATCAAGCTGCCGTGCCGAGCTGCCGCGGCAGACTCAACCACATAAGGGCGCTATTCATAACGATTCAGTGCCTATCGATGGCGACGACAATATGGTTAATGATGGTGACTGTGACAGCCTCTCCGGCGATGCCAACAGCGACAGTAGCAGCGACAGCGACGGCGGTAATGACGACGATGACGATGATTATAACGATGACGGAAGTTCCAGCAATAGCGACGGCGAGGATGGCGGCTGCACCATTAAGCGCAAGGCGGACCAATCGCCTTTAGTGACCAGTTCCGACGATGGTTATACTGACGGTCTTTCCGATGACAATATGGCGGTGAAGACCCCTAGACCGCACAAACGTCAGAAGGTCGCCCATAAGGCAGTAGACATAAGCCCCAACTACAGTCAGAACCCTACGCCTCACTCTAGAGGACGTCCACTACGATCGCCTAGACGGGCTTAGACAGCCGGCATGCTTAGCCCACCCGCCTCTCACAGCCTGTCCGAATCTAAGAGCGAGAATGGCTCAGAGTGCAGAAAGGCGTCGTCAGCATCCTTTAGCGAATGGCGGTTATAAAACGTTACATTAAAATGTGTGACGATCGACGGAATCACTACGTTTCAATTACAGTTTTAACGAGTGCCGGCGCGTACTTACAGCCGCCGACAACAGTGGCGATCGCACAAACTGGTCAAGAGCAAGGCTAGAGGTCGAAAATCAAGGGATGAGACCAAAAGGTCGACAATGTAGTGTGTACAGCCAGCCTAGTCATAATGCGCGAACCTGTCAGCGAACATCTAGCGGGGACGGCAGCCGTGAGTGTTAACTGGCTGTATCTATACGGCCCTCCTACAGCGGATGTAAGGGCTATAGGAGCTCGTGAAATACTAGTAAGAGAAACAGTGAATAATAAGTAGGATATAGAAGATATTCTCACGTATTATTAGTATAGTGCGTGAAAACACAGTCGAATAGCCAGCATTTCTAAGTATTAATACGAAACAGGTACTAAGACATTAAGCTCAGTTTAGATTTAAAGATTCTATTATCTATAGCCGTTGCGTTTAAAGAATAGGTCAGCCACGGACAGTCTTTTAAAAAAGAACCGCTTAATCTAAGCATCCATCTAACTAAATGCGATTACTCACTCCTACCAACCATGTCCCCCTATCCTTACAATACGCTAGGCAGTTGATCCGGCGGCCTGATCTTAGGAGGAGCCTAAAGCTTAGCAGATGACGAAACCACGGCGGAGGCGATCGTCCTTCTACCCTATTTAACATAGACTCTATACTTACATGCTTCTAGCTGAACGAGGCATTATTCCTTTATAAGGCGGGGGCTTAAAAGGTACTAAACCGACTAACGTTTATTATAGCCCATCCTCATTCAATTTTATCAAGTACAGTGAAGCTGTATTATACTAGGAATAAAAAATACATATACTATCTTAAAAAACTCAGAGTTCTAGAGCTAAACGATCTCTACCTCACTATTCTAAGGCTTAAGGAGGAAGTAAGTCCCTTAACTACCGAAGTGAAATATAAGAAATGCAGGAACTACTAGACTGATAATTATCTTACCTGCCTAGGAAGCGAAAGCTATGTTTACCTTATTATTGCCACAGCCGTGTTTAACCGATGTGGGGCACTATAGAGGATGCGTGAACTCGTAGGCAGCGCGTGCCAGCCAATCGCCGAGTGCTACGGCGGGATGTGGATAAGCTAGGTACGGTCATGTGGCCTATGAATCTAGGTAGTCTTTTATCCCTATAGTCAATTATACTAGTAAACCGTAAACCTACTTACTGACACCCTTTATTAACTCTTTACTTAGTTCGCCCTGCATTTAAACATGGCTAAGCTAGACGAGCTATACAATCGCATTACCACAGATCTAGATTTATTAGGCCCGGCGTTACGCATTACGTCACTATTAGTAACTTAAAATGAAGCACTTAAAGCTCTTATTACTACTCTTTAAAACGCAGTGGCGATAATTAAATCTAAAACTGGTTCACACTAGCATTTATGGTTAGAAAAAATCTGGAAGGCCAGCGAGCGAGATCGAACCAAAGCGCAGGCAGCGATTTAGGCAGTTTTAAGCGGTGGCCATTTCAGAAGCTCGGCAGTTTTTCGTAGGAATATAAAGCTGATTTTCTAAGGGCCTCTTAAATCCAATTTTAATTTAAAAGACACTGTCTAGAGGAAGATAGTGATTAAGAAACGTTATAAACGGATAATACAACTAAGTACTAATAGGATTATTTCGTGGGCTATTGCTTATTCTCCTACTAACTAGAATCCTTATTCTATATTAAATAACATATTCAGCTATTTACTTAAAGACATAGAACCGGCGGACAGGAAACTATAGCCACTAGTAGTATACGATACGCTTTTAAAACTGGCTAAGGAGGAACTTCACGAATGTTATAACCTTTAGAAGTTAGTCTCTAGTATGTGGCATAACGCCATCCGCGGATTGAACTGACATTCAATAGAACTGTCCTAACCGCTCTATACTATAGACTGTGGTTCGTAGGACCTTCGCCCCCCTACGGTAAGGTCCTCGCTTTAATAGTAAAGCCTAGATTAAGGTAAGCCGAATCCTAACGCGTAGGGATTCATATTAACCATTCCTATAGAGATGAAGCATATGTTTACAGATGCGCCCACTTAAAATGTATTAAAGTTACCCTAACTATTTCGGACGGCCGTCTTAAGCAGCGCATAATAGAAATCAGAACGAGCCAGAGGGTATAGGACCATAGCCTGTATAGCTACACTATTCCTAAAGGATAAAACATAAGACGTATTATTTACTATTTAGTACGGCTATAATAAAGGTTATAGAATCAACGATATATATAGAGTTAAGCATACGATTTCGTCTTAATTTTCCCAGCGCATTATCTCTACCCCACGAACATAGGTTGTGTAGCCCTTTAGAACCTCGAAATCCTTGTATTCTATGACGTTTTCCTCTAGAGTCTTTCTGTCCTGTGTCTCTTCGTTAAAAACTAATATATACAGTCCTTAGAATTTGAACGTTCGATCGCTCGTAGCATCTAGTGGAAACCAATAACTCGCAATGTTTCACTCGTCGCGCCTAGTAAGGGCGTTATCACCTTTCTTAGTAAATGTTAGCAAAAGACACAATAGAAGGCGACTAAAAACTTAACTACTATAGTGAATAAGTCGTAGTGATAAGAAGGTTAATTCCCGCTTACTTTAATTTCTTTCTATCACGCTATTTAAGGGAAGGCGGGGCACCTAGCCTAAGTTAGGCAGTCATTTCATCTAGTGCCTTATAACGCACATTTAGGCTCTAGCAGAATTCTAATAGTAGTATTTCAGGTATAAAGAGTAAGTAACTATGTAGCGCACTAGCCGTCTGTATTCGTTAATGCATTAAGAAGGGTTAAAGCAGTGTTAAGAGTCCAGTTAGGTTATAGTAAGGTTCAGCCGAGAAAGTAGCGCATCCGGATATCACGTGCAAAACAAGCCGAGCCTAGGATCATATTACGTCATTTTCTCTTAAATCTAGTACATAGGCGATAATCTTAATAGACTATTAACCTTATAGCTTATTAACCTTATGGCTTATTTAAATAGTGCCTTACTAAAGCTCCCGCAATTACAGGATTCGATATACGCGCCTGTTCGTGCTAATAAGATATACTTTAGTTGGTTAAACTCCACCATTAAGCAGGAAATGCACTTAAAACAGCCTTCACAATCCCTACTCATTTGTCTATTTTGGCCAATTTCCACGCTGATTTCTCTCCACGACGAGACAGCGAGACAGTGTGCCTAACTTGCATCTTGCATTAGCCACCCTAGAAATCATCACTAGCTTTCGTAGATGATTGCTTAAATACGGCGCCACAATACACAAGCCGGCTAGGATGATTTAGAGCTCTATATAAACTCAGCAGGACCCTGTATTTCCCTTATTATCTTCTAAACCTTAAAGTTACTAATTTAGTGCCATTTTATGATTATTATCTTTAAGTAGGTAGCTAAGCAGTATATAAGGACGTAAGTGCGGGTAAATGCTTCTATTTCTAAGTCCATCGTTAATAGAAGAATAGGCCTTTATACTCTAGTGCGACTGCTCCAAATAGCTGCCCATCCAAGCACGGGGACACAATACTAGGACATCTTTAAGAGATGCTAAAAAGAGAATAGCCCTAAAGGTCAGTGTTTAAGTCTTATATTGCTAATATTAAACTAATAGATGTTAACACAGTGCAACTAACAATAGCGCATTAGAGACAGCTGTTAATACTATAGAGCCAGGGTACGAGCACACTAAGTCGACTAGCACAATTAAGGCCGAGCTTTAGTTATAGGATACGTCTATAAGCCTAGGTACACTACTTAGCAGCTTAACCATCGCCTTGCTTATTCTGACTCTAAGTGTTGTATAGATCCAGTGCCTAGTAACTCTAGGAGTGCATTAAGCACTAAGACTCCTAGCCAACCTTCTAAAACCGCACCTTAGGCTGCGGAGGGTGGCGCTTCAGCAATCAAAAGCGCTACTTTAGCGTCGCTATATGGAATCTCTAACGGGATGAAAATGTTCGAACCCCTCGATTAACGACCGATTCAGAGCTCCACACTAACTATGGACACTAGTGTGGGGCGTACAACGCATTCCGCCGTAGGCCAATAAGTCTACGATTACGTTAAACGCGCCGCTTCGCCTACAGGTAGCGCCAGCTAAAGACCACTAAGTAAGTTATCCTCCACTTTTACCTAGACTACTTAACTAACTTACTAAAGATACCCTAATAAATAGAAACGAAGCCACTAACGCATAAAATAATACCGTTAGCTATACTACCTAATTAAGAGTCTTACTGTCCTTAATGTCTAAGTTAGTGGTCCCGGCTAGAAACAGCCAGAAATACAGTAAATCATCAGATACTTCATCTCTACGCGCGTTACCTAAGTCGACTAGTACATTAAATGCGGATAGAGCGATACTTTAGCTATAGGGTAGGCCTAGAAACACCTGTCCTCGGACTTTAGGGTTATAATGTAGGTTAAGAGACACAATTAGGGTTACCTGCTTTCTAATTCGGAACTAAAGTGTCACTAATATTAATTTTAGATGGGCTAAGTCACATATAAGCAGTCGCGGCTAGTGCTACCTGTGGACATTCTTAGGCGGGGGAGCTGAATATCCATAGGTCAACTAACCAGCATCGCCCGATTCCTAATCTACTTAGACAGCAATAAAAGCTTAAGGTTATCACGGCTGCTGCAGCCACTGAAGAGACGCCGTCTAACAAGCGAGACTTAACTAAGTCTTTCTTAATAATAAGTTCTATATTCGACTATATAAGTGAAGATACTACTATTACTGCTGACGAAGAAAGCTAGGATGTTGCCTTTAGTTAGGCCATTTCTATGGATGATATGGAGGGCTGGGAAGTGGTGGGGGTAGATATC